TATTGGTATAGAGTAATAATTAAAAATAGCGTTTGATACGTTATCCAACGACATGTGGATTTTTTGTAATTTTATGAGTATCAATAATTTTTCTCGTTCACTTAAACGATTGTATAAATTAGTACTAACCACGCCAGTAGACTTTCCAAAAATATTTTTCAAATGATGATCAATTGTTTTCAATAAATCACTTATCTCAATGGTAAACAGTATACATTGAAACGACATCACATCTATTATTATAATTTCAGTGAAGCGATAAGTCACACGATATAACCACTTCATATTGACACGGTAAATAGAATTAAAATCAATAAGTAATGTATAGTAGTATGCAATAAATTTGAACATAAGAAAAAAAAAGTATTTCAGATATCGTAATGACCAATTGTCATTATGTATGCCTTTTTTCAATCCATCAAGTGTTTCTCGAACCGAATTTAATTTTGTAAAAATAGCAATAGCTGTTTTATGTTTAACAATAGTATGAATCAAAATGTAATTAGCTGCGACAATAGTGGTTAATTTTATAGTGTGATGGTGTATATGTATGAAATGTAACGGAGAAAATGTACAATACGCTTTCAAGAGACTATATTCAGATTTGATGATACCTGCCAGTAAACAAATGTTATAGACCATCCCTATGTAGGAGTAACTAAACGACCATCGTTTAAAACCATTATTTCCAATGGAGATCTGATTAAAATTCATTGTTATGGTGCCAAACATTCGATTTAAGAAGTAAAACAATTTAATTAACGGAAGCTTGAATTTTTTCATTTCCACTCGTGATATCAATTCGCGAAACATCGTAGCAATTAATATTTTGAGCTGTAAAATGAAAGGTTATCAATTAAAAGAAAAAAATTCGTTATTAGCATGTACCTACTTTTGTTACTCTTCCTGATGAACATACGTTTCAACGGAGTAGAGTAATGCAAGTTACAAGCAAATAACTAATCGGCCTTGGCAACACAATGGCTTAAGCTGCAGTTCTTGTAGTTCGGGGTCAAAGTAACACACGCTTACACGAGTTCGAGACTTGATCTTTTACTCACGTGACTCGCACCTCCGCAAAATGAATTTCTTACTTCCAAGTGTGGTCCAATTGTTCGGGAGCCACGTAAAATGAGATGGTCATTACTTGCTATACAAGTGATTGGATGTTACAGTGAAATCTGAGGCGGTTTTTTAATATGCCAATAACAATACCATACATACATATGTGCGAAGGAACACAGCAATGTAGAGCCGTTGTACGAATTTGTCAGAATGGACTGTAAAATGTAAAAAAAAAAACTTAGCTAATTCTAATTTTGACTTAAATAAAAGTTGTTAAAAAGTTGAACCTACGAAAATGTGACTCACACTCTCGATGTCTCAAAGCTGACTAACTGTGTGGTAAAGTATTTCGAAAAAACAACCACAATTTCGAAATTAACCATACACACTTCAATGACAGCCAATGCTTGTAATATAGTGACCTTTACTTAGGTACTTTAAGTGATTAAAGTGAGTAACGAGTAAATTAAAAGAGTAATTGTACTAGTCACCCCTCAAAATTGAATAATAAATTATAATAGAATCTATGGTGTATCTTGTTTTTAGAGGACCCTTAGTAGGAGACACGAAATTGGGAAATTTCCTGTTATGTCAATTGCTGATGACATTAAAGATTACCTTTAAATTTTCCGATGTGAAACATATTTGAAAGACTTGAAACTTGAATTACAAACTTTTTATCTGAAATTAAATTGCTTAGGTTAATCACGTTGACTATTTGGAGATGATTACTTAAAAACTGATATGTTTATACAGCTATGACTCGCAAAAATAAACGTGGAAGTGTCGTGACTTCTTTTATAGATTGTAGGTACATGTTGAACCTTTAATGTCATTTCTCCAAATTCTCTACTAAATTATCCAACCTATAAACCTTTTTCTTCTTTTTGGATTACATAAAAAGATAAATGAAATTGAGGAAAGTCCCCAATATTTTGATTGTTGAGGGATAGTTACATTACGTCTACGCCTATACGTCACGCATTGGCACTTTGACTGAAAACATTACATTTTAATTGTCCGAAGAAAAACACATTTTGATAAGTTCGAGGTAAAACCGAAGGAGATTCTCTTGAAAAAATTTTTGGATAGGAATGATTATATGCAATTAAAGATTCGTAGTTGGCGTGTGAAGACTATATTTATTCAGCATTAGCTTTATATGGGTTTATTGTGTTTTCTTTAGAAGAGGTAATAAAAAATCGATGTACATTGAGCATAATATTTTAAATACCAAAATAAGCAGTGGAGAAGATTAATCAGTTTGAAAAGTTGGTACGTAAAAATGATGGATAATATTAAAAAGTCAGTCGATACGAAAACGAAGTGAGCACCTGCCCTATAAATTTGAATTTAACGAAAATTTTCTCTTCTATCTTAAAAAAACGATGGGTCACGTGATGAAGTATGTTTTTTGTCGTGTGATTGGCTGAGACTAATCAAGCGACAGTAGATTTGATAATGAGATTTCGAAAAATCAGTGAAAAGTCATTTAAATTTTTAAGTTGATAAATATTACAATATCGCGTGTTACGAGAAAGATATCATTATTTTATTTTTCTTTAAAAATATAGTAAATAAATGTTTGATGAAATATTGGTGATTGACGCTTGAAGCGCGCAGGGGGCCCAATACCTTATTTAAAAAAAACTCAGTAACTCGTATATTATTGTTTATTCTTTCGAGATTGTCCGTAAAAAATAAAACATATTTTATTAAAGTTTCGCGTATCAACTAACAATTTACAACATTTTACTACATAAACCATAATGACACGATCATTTAGCAACGCTGAAGACCAGCTTGTGGAGCACAATCTCATTTTCTAACGAAAAATCGAAGAATCTTTTACCAATCGCACATTTCCATTGCTCGATACAGATGATACGTGAAAAAAAAAAAAATTATTAACACCCTACCGATTACTAAGTTGTATTGCCTCTAAAAGTAAGTTTTCCCAGAAAGACTATATATATGGTACTAGTCACGTCACAGTCACATATCTCATCAGCCATACCCGGAAACCCCATCAGCCCCTTCCAATAAAAGCCAAGACAGATCATTTCAGCGCAGCCAAGCTCGCCGGGCAGGATACACACTCGAATGCAAATATATATACTCACATCTGCGCGTTCTAGCACCACGTTACGTGTAACCGTGTACTTGTTACCGGACTCGCGTAACAAAAATGCATTTTCGCTTCGAAAATCCTCGATGCTCGTAAAAGTGAACCCTCGTCCATTCGGATTTTCTCCCCCGAGCTATAATCCTTTTTTTTTCACTCGATAGGGCCCGTAAATTTTCGCTTGTCTTACATAACGTAGCGCAGCGCGTATTGACAATTAACTTCTCGTAAAACAGTGGACGATTTTCGGAAGTCCATTACGGAAGCTCGAGAATTCACGGCAGTATACCGCACGTATAAATAATACGATTTTTCACAAGAGCGTGTAGCGAAGGTCTACGGACTATACATCTAAGTCCGTGAAAACAGGTTTTTAGAAGATATTCGAGGTTTTTTCGAGTCCCCCAAATGATTTCAAACCCATTCGAATAAGTTACGAAAAGACTCAGAAGTCATGCAATGGATTTTGAAAGATTTTGAAGTCGTGTATGAATTTTTTAATTTATTCAAAATTTACAAATCTTGATAACACTTTAGAAATCGGCAAAATTCACTTGACGTTACCTTAAGTCTCTGTAAAGCACCCAATAATTTCAAACTTATCATAAGCCATTTGAAGAGAGATTCACAATTTTTGTGAGACTTTCATTGTCAATTGAATTTGCTACATGTTACACAAAGGCCTTAAAGACATGTAAAAACGTTAAAGACTTTAAAGTTGTATAAAATCTTTTTAAGCCTTTCCATTGATGTTAAATTCATCGAATGAGGCACGAAAAAATTGAAGTCATCAGAAGTCACGTGAAAGACCGAAAGGCTTTGAAATACTTACATTTATTTATGAATTTTAAGTCTTTCGAAAATTCCAAAAGTCACCGGAGGTAATTTGAAGTCACGTAAAGAAGTTCTAAATCCTCCAATGGTTTTAAACTCTTTCGAAGGAATCAGTAGACTTTGAGTATCTTTACAAGACTTTAATGGTCGTTTCAATTTCTAAATCATCCAAAAACGTTTAAGACTTGGAAAGCCGTTTAAAGTTATTCTAAGTCACCCAAACGATTTCACACCGTTTCCAAGTCCTTGTAAGACTGTGGACGTCATTATAAGTTGTCAGAAGTCACGCGAAAGACTTGGAAAGTCTCCAAAGGACTTGGAAGTTTTCATTGAAATTTTGAAGCGCGCAGCTCCTAGTCGGGGAATGTTTAACTGTACAAACTGCTTTAACGAAAGATGATTCCGCTCCATAGGAGAGAAGGTACACGTATTTTTGGATACTTTATTCCTTGGGATTCGCTCACCTGCCAAAGCGATCCCGACTGTCCGACTAAATCTATCCTCCTCCCCCCTCTACTCCCGAAAAAGAAGCTGCACCCACGCAACGAACCAACGACTGTATATATATACTCCACTACACCCCCACACCCTGCACGTACATGCAACAGCATATTCAGCTGTCCCGTTAAAATCGCTCGGGTCCCAGAGCACGTATATACAACCCACAGCACACACGCGCGCACGCGGTCCAAAAGGAGGGCCGCCGGCAACGAGAGCCCAAGCTCCTTTTTTCCTCTTCTCCTGCCGACGACGACCTGCCCGTCCCTCCTCTCCCTCCCATGTTCAAACGAGCGCTCTCCGCTCCCCGTTTCGTACCTATCCTAAGGTGGGTGCACGTATACCTCGCGGCGACAGAAACTTTCAGTTTCTTCGGCGCCGCCGGTCGACGACGTGCTCGGCCAGCCCCTCCGTTCGCTTTGCCCGCGAATCGTGCACCAAGTATACATCACGAGTGCCTACCGTGTCCCCGGTGCTGCTCACGCGTCAAAGTTTGGTTTTTTTGGAAAAATTTTTCGCCGGTTTTTTTATTTTTTTTTTTATTTGGGCGAATGAGTGCTCGGTTCGTTCTGGATGGCTGATCGGCGTCGCACGAGATGATGCACCGAGGCCAGTGTAAGTTATTTTCCAGTTTCCGTCAACCTTTTTTTTTTTTTTTTTGCCCTGCCACTCGTTGGGGTAGGAGACTTAGAAAAAACTGCTCACGCACTCCCTCTTGGTCTTCAATCGATGATTTTCAATTGGGTTTTTTTTCTTTAAATTTTTTAGCAACGGGACTGCTATTACAAGAGCAATGTGTAGACACGTAATATATTGATTTGAGGGATAAACAATTTTTAACTGTCACTTCAATCTAATTTCTCATTTAGTCATAGATTTTTTGAAAAGGCACATTTCTTCATTCAAGTTTTTACTATTATCAAATATGTTTAAAAAAATAATAAAAATAACAATAAAAAATAAAATCTAAAAATCTATTGTCACACCTTCCCTGTGAAGGTAGAAGCTGTTATTTCTCAATTACGAGAAAGTCCTGTCCACATCCTTGAGGGGATACCCAACACGCGCTAAACAATTTTGACAATGGGTGTCAGCTCGGGGAGTCGTTGGATTTTGCAAGAGACCCTTTGTGTATGTATTTTTGCATAATATATATATTGTAACCCGTATGCTGTGCATGTATGGTAAGTGTGTACACAAGTAGCTCGTTTGCCCTGCACCGTTGCGTCGAAAACTCGTGTGTTTGGCGCATGATTTTTGTTTTCTTCTTCTTTTGCACGCTTTGATTTTCATGCTCGAAAGTTTGGCAAAGAAGAAGAAGATTTTTGTCTAATTTCACGCTGAGACGTTACGAATCGACGAGTCGTTATCCATATAGTATATATAGTGTTTCCCTCGAGAAAGTGCCAGCGCGTCTCCGTGCGCGAGAAAAATGTCACTTCCTCCTTTTAACAACCAACTACTTAATTGCCCGCAGGCGGGGAGAGACGAGGCACTTTTATTTCATTTTTTTTAAACGTACATTTTTAAACATCATCCTTTGCTTGGGATTTTTAAAAAATATTGTATTCTGGAAAATTATACGCAACTCGTTCGTTATGACGAGTAGAAAAATAACAAAAACGTCGAAGACGGCAAAAAAAATCCGTTAACGAATCAAATTTAAACAGTACAACACCTATGCAAATGTATAACGCGAGGATGTGTGTGAGTGTAAGGTGAAGGTCCTTAGGAAAAGGAAAGGTGAGGTAATTCTGGGACACCGTTTGAGCGCGGTAAAAATTACCCTGGGAAAATATAGAGGAAAAGATCGTAGCGAGTGACGTTGTAGTAACTAAAGGGTCGCTTGCGATAGCTTACCGGAATTTTACTTAAAAAAAAAAAAAAAAAAAAAACTTTTGTTTACTATTAACGTCCACATTCGGAAGAAGAGAAGAATCGATTTAAAAACCCCTATCACGCGATTGTCATCGTTTATACAGAGTTCGCGCGAGAGTTGCCGACCACTTGCACAACACTCTCTTTCTCTTTCTCTTAATGCTAATTAATCAAAAGTTTTACTCAAAGAGAAAAGAAAAACGAAGGTCCCATCGCGCACACGCGCACTCGCTTGAGTAATCCCTCCTCGCGCTATGGCAATTAAAATAATGCATGTATATACGTGTACATATCGTGTCGTTACAATGCATCGGGGCACGTTTTATAATAGAGGCTCCTTTCTCTCTCTCTCTTTATCTGAGATTTCAAGTCGAATCTCCTCTTCTGGTGTTTTACGCCTAATAATTCATTGACGCGTTCCAGCGTTGCGCCCGGCAACAGTGTGGAGTTTGCCTGTATGTATATATATGTACACCCACTCCTTCGCACTCGCCAGTTGTTCCTGACACAATTTTCATTTTTATTTTCATTTTTTCAATCAGAGAAATAGATATACATCGTTTACGCTCACACCGAGGGTGTATCATATTTTGCGATTAAAAAAAATGTGCGTTACATCTTTGCATGTATACACATATTTTTACAATATATCGTGGTTTGAGAGTTACATATTGTACCGCACGATATCCTCGTGTGTCTTGTGCCGGTGCATTATATTTGTTCTCGGGACACGTACCTACGTAGGTACGTCGTACCTGTGCACTTACGAGACTGTATACTTAAATGCATATCGCAGTGGAGAAAGAGAAGAGTATGTCTCTTTCTTTTATCTGGATTTTTTTTTTTTGCATGTATGAAAAATTCCCCCGCGGCCACGGAGTACGAGGTATACCTACCTTTACGTGCAGTGTACCACGGAGAGAGAATAAGAAGAAGAAGAAGCTCTTATACGTATGTATGTACCTGCAATGCACGTGCATTCCCTCGCATGCGAGGGAAAAAGCGTCGGCTTCAGCTCTTCTGGATGTACATTTACTATACACGTACGTGTGTATAATACTTGAGCGGTTGCACGAAAAATCGTCATCCGGTAGATCGGTAAACAACCCTTGAGAAATGGATAAAGTTTTTTTTCTTTGGGGGGGGGGGGTTTAAATTAATTTACTTTTTACCAGGACTTCAAGAGCGCATATAGCTTTGAATCATAAAAAAATACTTCAAAAGTCATTCTAAGTCTTTCAAAGACTTCAGACTTTTTACCAGGACTTTAAGAGTACATATAGCTTAAAGTCATTAAAAAAGACTTTATAAGTCATTCTAAGTCTTTCAAAGACTTCAGACTTTTTACCAGGACTTTAAGAGTACATATAGCTTAAAGTCATTAAAAAAGACTTTATAAGTCATTCTAAGTCTTTCAAAGACTTCAGACTTTTTACCAGGACTTTAAGAGTACATATAGCTTAAAGTCATTAAAAAAGACTTTATAAGTCATTCTAAGTCTTTCAAAGACTTCAGAATTTTTACCAGGACTTTAAGAGTACATATAGCTTAAAGTCATTAAAAAAGACTTTATAAGTCATTCTAAGTCTTTCAAAGACTTCAGAA